CCCCCAAAACCCCAAAACCCCAAAACCCCGGAATATTGGGTTATTGTTGAAAATTATGGTTAATTATAGTTGGAGTTAAGAATCGATGGAATTTATGATTGTCAAAATCTTTTTTAGGAGTGATCGCTTGGGGTTTTGTCAGAACTCGGCTTGGGCCATTTCGGAAATTTTAGTAATAAGCGGAACTCCTTCAGGTGCACAATTGTATAAAAGTTTTCACATTTTGTTAGATTCTCCAATCTCTTCTTCATGATCTCTATGGGTCTCAAGAGCCAATAAGATGAGCTCAAGGATCTTATTATGCGAAAGAGTTGCTGACTGATAAGAAGCAAGCTCTCATAGTTTCTCCATGATGCCAGTCTTATAAATCGCTTCTAGAATTTGCTGATTCTTGTGCTTCATCAAGGCTGTTATAAAGCTGCCAGCGCCATTATTCTCATTTTTCCAGAACTCTCGTACATCCTTGACTACAAATTTTGAAAAGGGGCCAGCAAAGGTGTTACTACAGGAAAGTTTGGTTGAACTTTCTTCACTTATTGATAAATGCTTGAATATAAAAAGAGTAATTTTGAGAGTACTAATATTCTCACCGGAATCTTTAAATATTCTTGAGCAGATATCATAAAAGTCTTGGCAACAGATTGAATCGTGAGTCTTAGCGTCCTGGCTGAGGATAGCAATTCAGCTCATCCCTGAGAAACAATTTTCAAGGCTCATGTAGGGGAACTTCTGGAGGAGAGAATTGGTTAAGGAAAGTTCGCTATTTACTGAACCAGGATATTCGTAGTTAATCAAAAACCTGAAAATAATGGTCATCAAATTCGTAAGACAACTTTCTCTCCTACTCTTCTGAAGGGAATGTACTGCAATTTGGAGATATTTTAAATACTCTCGTTGATCAAGTTCCTTGAAATAATAAATTCAGTGTTCAGCTATAAAAAATGTAAATATATACCAAAAAGACTAATAATAGGACTTACCTGCTGAAGAAATAATTTCTTGCCCTTTAGAATCAGGCATAGCGCTCTGTAGTAGTGAGAAGATGTCATCAAGAAGGCCCATTTCATAGATTTGTTCAAGAATTTCCTCATCCTGCTCAGCCATTAGCCCAATTGCTTGAGCTGAAAGGTTGACTAGTTCTTCATGTGAGCTCTTAATACATTCAGAGCAGATTTGGAGGAAGCCATTTTGTTCTAAAGCATCACAGGAATCCTCATCAATCGCTGCAATCAAGGTCTCCAATATTTTTCTCTTTCTTCTGAAATTTTGTGTTTTTCTGAAAAGTTCGGTGAATATTTCCACACATCCCTGATCGATGAATTCTTGGACTGAAGAATCGTCCCGGTAAAGTACTTGTCTCCAACCAGCAATGGAGACCAAAATTAGCTTATCATCACCTGTGTTTACAAGCTGTCCGAGCTCTCTATATGGGACTGAAGTGAGGTCTAATTTTTCAAGTATTTTGCTAAATTTCTGCTCATTTTCTAATCTTTGTAATTTATTCAGAATGTCTTGTAAAGGTAGAGATAAATACGATAGACAAATACCGTCTTTATCTGATTGTGAATCTCGGTTTTCTTGATGATCTTTTAGGTGAGAGGTCATTAACATATTATTTTTAATAGAGGAATACATCCAATAATATTTCAATATTTTTGCAATTATTTGGGGTTTTGGGGTTTTGGGGTTTTGGGG